AAATCCCTGGAAAATGTTTTTTGATAAGGCTACGCTGCACTGAAGGAAAAGTATCTGATGATATTTTTTTGCAGAAATAAAAAGTATGTTGACGGTAGACGAATTTTTGAACACTACGGAAGAATCGGCCTTTGAACACGGTTGTTCGGAGGTTATCAAGGCTACAATCAGTGTAGTAACATCGGCAACAATCCTGAAGATATTACCTGTTGTGGAACTTATTCTTTCATTATACATCATACTACTCTCGCTTACAATCAAACAAAAAACATCACTGAAATGGTACACAGTGAACATGTTCACGACATGCTTCGTATACGGTGTCAACAACACTATTTTTGCATATACGGATTTTATGCGCGAAAAAACTGTGGGGTAGGGAGCTTTTTTGACATTATACTCGGCTTGTTCAAGACGCAGGCCAGTTCTCTGGATGTGGCCCAAGTACTTGTTTACTTTGCTGCGAGTACTGCTCAGAGATATGAAGTTTTCACAAAGCTCAGAGTCAGTTCCATTATTTTCAAAAAGAAATTCAGGTATCTGTATTACTATTCATTCCTATGGACTTATGTGCACATTCGTATCATTTCGTTCGGTGCAATCTACGAAATTTTTACATATTGCTGGATGCAGTTGAAATCAGTCATTCCGCAAAGGTCTGCTTTAGTGGTTGTCGTAAAAAAGTTATTTTTTGCGAAATATTTTCATTGCTACTAAAGATCGGGAAGACTTTTTTAATTACCGGTACTCACGATTGTCTTGGCCAGACGACTGGCTACTTTTTTCAGAAGAAAGCCCTTAAAAGCTACTGTTTCTACTACATATGTGTATCAGTTGTTTGAGGGCCGCTTGAATGCTCATCCTCTTTCTCGTTGACACCGCTCGTAACTGACTTGCGTTAGTCTCAACGAACAACCAGTTAGAAGTAGTAACTTATTAAAATATACAAGTTTTGATACTTTATTCAACCGTAATTCATAACCTCGGTGCTCGGCTTGCAACTGGCAATTTTTCCTGTATGATAATTATGAATTCTTAACCGATAATAAATTTCTATTGATAATATAATATCACACAATATGCTACTTTTTGATCTTTAT